GCGTGATGCATGTGGATGAACCAATAAAGGAGGACTTGTTTATTTTCGATACGGAATGTGGCAAGTTGTAGGCCATTCCGATCAGAAGAAAGTCATCGACGCATTGCTGTTGTGTGTTTCTCGCTTCAACACTACACTAAAATTTTAAGTGAGAATGGGAAGGAAAAAAGAACAGACCTGAGAGTATCCTGTAAAGTATTATGCTTTATGCAGTCCGAACAGGGAAGAAAAAGTCACGGTGCATTTGACCATGTCCAATGATGATGTCGACAGTTTGATTGTTGATAGTATTTTCATCAGGTAATTATTTAACTATTCATTTTACTGAAAGTTATGAATCATATTCTGACTACAGATTTAAAAACGATGAATAAACGGTACAAGGATGTGAGATGGCTAATATCCCAACATTGCCAAAAAATAAAAATGCATTCATTCAAGAAATTATGAAAAAAATCCGTGCTTTTCAGGCCTAATATTTGTAACATTATTGGAACAGGTATTCAATTGTTCAAGTTACCTTTTAAATGAGGTTTGATTTTAATTAATATCTCATTTTTTAATTAATACAAATTGTGCATGACAAGAACATTAATTTTCTTGATCAAGCATTTGCATTTCATTAATTCAATCTAAAGTATAAATTGTACAATAATTTCATATTGATTTTTCATTGATTTTATTGGAAATTTAATTTCATTGAGTGAATGAAATTCAGTCCAATTCCTTATGCAATTCCTTAAATGTTATTGTAAAAATGAACACATATGATTTCAGATCAATTGGGTCATTAATTGGAATAGATAAGAACAAAAAAAAGTACTTCAGTGTTTCCTTAAAAGATTTGTGCCATTAATCAAAGTAGAGGTCATCCCATATCAGCTCAAGAATATTAAAGAAAGTTGGATGGATCAAGCTAAGATGTTGAACCAGACATGGCAAAGTCAATGGAGATTTGGAAAAAGAAATGATGATTTGTTGTACCCAATGCATATTTTTTATATGTCTATAGATTATAGAAAAAAATTTAATGTTTAACAGCATCCTTATCTACCTGGTAGTATATACATGGTGTTTTCAATATATTTTAAAAAATATGTGTATGTGATGATTGCAGTGCATGATCTGTTTGTCCATCTTTGAATTTGTTTTCAGTAAAATAAATGTATACATTAAGGTATTAATTGAAGGTTGCTTTTGTCTACACTTACAAGTAACAAGTTTCTTAAAAGGGTTATTTTGTAAAATTGCAAGGAAATTAATACATGAACAATTAAATTTAATATTTTTTTATTCATTAAATTTTGTTCTTACCAGGACCTAATATGCTCAAATAAGTATTTCTGAAAACTGATGAGTTTTGTAAATAAAGCTGCAGTGAACATTTAACAGTTTAAAATATGACACTTGGAAATTGAAAGGTTGTTAATTTAGTAGGAATGATAAGACCAGTTTAGTAATCAACTAAAATTAAAATCTTTCACAAATAATGTAGTTTATTTTAAATTTGTTTACATTTAAAATCTTTTATTTTTTTTCTGTATTTTGATTTTAAAAAGGAGAAAATTTTTTTATATTTAAATTATTATTTCATGGATATCAAGGAGATATATCTATCACTGTAACATTGTTTCTTTATCCCTGTTCTAGACAAATATTTATGACAGTGTTATGTCATTTTGCAGAATTTGCCTTTTCTCTGAAATCAGAAGTACTCTGTAAACTCATTAAAGTATGAATTGATGTCACTTAGAATTCATCTTTATTTTGTTCTGTCTGATATTTCAATTTAGATTCTCAGACTACCTAATCCAATGATTGAGCTAATGTCCATGAAGTGTAGAAATAGGCCATCTTTAAGATATGTTGGTTGTCGGGCCTCTCAGACCGACTGACTAAAATGACCAGACTGAATTTTTTTTTTCAATGCAGGGCCGTATTTTTTCTTTTTATTCCTCTTATTCCCGTAAAGAAATGTTGTTGAAGATTTTCTCACCTACCGACCTAATAATTTTACCCAGAGTCAAGAGAGGGCAAACAAACATTACTTTCAAGATAGCATTTCTACTCTTTGAAGTAAAGAAATCATTTAATTATAAAAACAGCAGCTTCGTGGATGCAATGCTTACAACATTTCATTCAAAAGATGGCATACATGTATAATGATAGTCACGAGACATAACTGAATAAAGATATTTTGCTACGAAGATGTCTAGAAATTACTACATGTTGGAATAACTAAATCAGCATGAGGTCAAATTCAGAGGCTTTTAATTGGGTTAGTTGCAACATGTTCTGAAGTATGTTTATAAACATATACATGTACTTCTAAAGGTGTTGCATTATAATTCATGGACAATTTCCTCAGAATATTCAGATGTTAAGATTGCCATAAATACTAGATTTCTTTCATGGAATAAATTTTTAGACCATCTTGTAGCACAGGAGGAGTTTTATTTTGAATATTTTTGGCAAAGTTTTGCTTAAAAACAATATCAAAAATACATTTAGTCTTTAACATTCACCATGACAAGGTGATATCAATGTTGTCTTTATAAGTGTAGAAAAAGCCTGATTTTTGTGTTTCCGAACCCATAATATAGCCCCTGTTTCCATGGAAATAATATTGGGGACATACATATTTTTTTGGTTCAAATTATTTAAAATGATCAAATTAATAACTACATGGAATTTGATGGAATCGGTAGATATGTAAAACGTTGATTTTTAAATTTTTGTTGCCATGGCAACGGTTTCACTTTATCAAGGAAAATTGAAAAATCTTCTTTTTTACCCAATTTTTCACATTTTTGATAACGGAAAATTAATAGTTTAAATAATAGAAGCATGAATTATACTAATTCAGGTCATTTTAATTATAAAAGTTTGATAATTAATAAAATAAATCAATTTTTTCAATGAAAATAATATTCGAGGTGAAATATGAAATACGTTAAATTTGGCGTCTTTTACTAAAAAAATGGGACGGGCAATATCTTTGAAAATCATATTAAATGATGAAGCTAATCTCCCTGAATAAATTGATATATGGCATGTGTGCATATTAAAAAAAATAAAAGTTGGAGGGAGACGCAAACCTTACCTTAATTGAAAGAATAATCTTGTTAAGTATCACCAGGAATTGGGTCTAATTCACGTTCATTCTGATGAAGTCATTCAGTTTGTTATTACCATTAGGACGGGATGACTTCATCTGTACATCCAGAAGGAAGATTTTCATATACACGCATTAAGATTAAGAAGATCAACAATTTTGATGTAAATCTTGAATAATTTAGCGTAATACGTAACTTGAGAAATCATAAATAGAATTATTAAATAATTAGATTTTTTTAAAGGCCATGTGTGTGTGAAATAGTGTCATATATTGATATATTCTTGTCGGGTCGGGAGAACAGTTATTATTTGCCTTTTTCTTTATTCTGATAAAAATCATACTCGCTCCAAAATTCGGTGCAATTTTTTTTTTTTTAGAAAATGTCCGGTAAATATTTATTACGAACTTTTAATGTGTACCTACTATAAATGAAATCTACATTATGTAAATATATCAGATGTACAAAAGGTTACATGTATTCATAGAAGATTTAGCAAAACGTAAGGAATTACAAATGTATTTTTAAACTATATAAAGCATGAAATTAATTTAAGAGGTATTTAGTTTAGATTTCTTTCATCAGTTTCACTTGTACACCATTCGATACACTGAAAATCAATTCAACACTCTTGTCTTCCTCTTTTTCTTGTTTTCTCAGTATAACATAAGAAAAATAAATGCCTTATAACTCGCTGTTAATTTAGTTTGAATTTTTCGGGATCGAGAAATCAAGGAAATCAACTACATGCATGTGTAGAAGGGGTAGTCTACATAGCCTGATTGATTGATTGTATACCGCTTAATGTCCCACTCCAGAATATTTCACTGATATGGAGACGTCACCATTGCCGGTGAAGGGCTGCAAATTAAGGCCTATGCTTAGCACTTATGGCCTTGAGCAGGGAGGGATCTTTATAGTGCCACACCTGCTATGAAACAGGGCCTCGGTTTATACGGTCTCATCCGAAGGACCGCCCCATTTAGTCCCCTTTTACGACAAGCAAGGGGGTATTGAGGATCTTTTCTAACCTGGATCCCCACAGGGCTACATAGTGTGAAAATGATTTAATTCTTTGATACAGTGGACCTTCAGATATCCTGACGCAAGATATCTGGATGCTTCAGTACCCAGACAATTTTTCATCTGTATGGAATTTTTAAATGTTATATTGTCTTGTTTAACTGGTGATTCAGGTATCCGGACACTTGACATATATATCTGGACAAATTGACTGGGAACCAAAGCGTCCAGATAAATGAGGCTCCACTGTATATGCAATTTGGTATTGATAAAAAACATGATGAAATCAAATTTATAAGTTATAAAATTTATAAGATGTTACCCGAAAATGTATTTTCTCTTTGATACTCTGTACCTCTGGGTATTAAGTAACCAAAGTGAGCAAAGTGATCCAGTGTGTAATTACATGTATGAAAAGCAATGGTGCCCCTTACAAAATTGTGAATTTCATGGCATCATTTCATGTTTAAAACATAAATCAAATTCAATTTTTGGAAAGTTGTTGCATTAAACTCAGGTGACTTATACTAGGCCCATGGGCCTTTTGCTCAGTTTTGGGAGAGAAAAAAATGGAATGTGAAAAAAAATATTCAAGCTGTGTTTCATAAAAAATGTTTTTAAATCGAAAAATTCCAATTGAGTTGTACATCAAAAGAGTAGACATGGAATTTCATATTGTAAAAGATAGTATTGACATATAATATGTTTAATGTGGTTTTGTATTAGTTCACATTTATTGTTGGAAAAAATAAATCAATGTTCTTGACAAGACCCTTGAGCAATTTTCACCTCTTGGCCATCGAGTTTGACCAAGTTTTAGAAATTTTAAAAACTTTTGAATGCATGTATAATATAGTCTTTGTGTATGTTATTTATCCTACAGTGAAAATAGTGCCATGTTGAGCATTTAAACTGATTTTTTGGTGAATGTTGCAGAAGGAAGGGGGGCAGTTTGAATCCGATCAGAGAAATACTGAAAATTTGAAGAACTGCTGTTCAGAAGAAAATGTTGAAGGACATATCTCTACAAGTGTAAGTACTAAGCCTGGTTTATTTAACAGTTGGGAAGATTCAACAAATCAATTACAGAGACATACTGGGGCACAAAGCGGGGATGAAATTTTAAAGTGTGAATTGTGTGGGAAGGCATTCTCTGTATCTCTTTCTCTGACACAAAATGGTAAAGAACCTGATATTTGTGACTATTGTGAAAAGACATTCAACCAATCAGGCACCTTACAAAAAAATAAAAGGGCACATACTGGTAATATAAGCTATAAATGTGATGTGTGTGAAAAACGATTCAAACGATTTTATCCCTTGAAGATACATATAAGGATACATACAGGTTATAACCCTTATAATTGTGGTTTGTGTGGGAAAAATTTCATGGAATTAGCAGTTTTAAAGAAACACATGAACACACATACAGGTGATAAACCGTATAAATGTGGTATTTGTGAAAAGGCATTCATAGAATTAGCAGTTTTAAAGAAACACATGCGGACACATATGGGAAATAAACCTCATAAATGTGATGATTGTGGGAAGGCATTCACACAGTCAGGTTCCTTGAAGAGGCACAGGAGGACACACACAGGTGATAAACCTTATAAATGTGATGTATGTGGAAAGGAATTCAGTCAGTCAGGTGACTTACAGAAACACATGAGGATACATACAGGTGATAAACCATTCAAATGTGATGTATGTCAGAAGACATTCACCCATTCACAATGCTTACTGAGTCACATGAGGACACATACAGGTGATAAACCTTATAAATGTGATGTTTGTGGGAAGGTGTTCACACAGTCAGGTTCTTTGAAGAGACACATGAGGACACACACAGGTGATAAACCTCATAAATGTGATGTTTGTGGAAAGGCATTCATACAGTCAAATGACTTAAAGAAACACATGAATACACATACAGGAAATAAACCTCATACTTGTGATGTTTGTGGAAAGTCATTTTCTGAATTAAGCAACTTAAAGGCCCACCTTATGGTACATACAGGGGATAAACCTTATAAATGTGATGTATGTGGGAAGGCATTTACACATTCAAGTGGCTTTAAGAAACACAGGAGGATACATATAGGTGATAAACCATTCAAATGTGATGTATGTCAGAAGACATACACCAAGTCACAATGCTTACAGAGCCACATGAGGACACATACAGGTGATAAACCTTATAAATGTGATGTGTGTGGGAAGACATTTTACCTCTCACAAAGCTTACAGAGACACATGAGGACACATACAGGTGAAAGACCTTATAAATGTGATATTTGTGGGAAGGAATTCAACCTCTCACATCACTTACAATTACACATGAGGACACATACAGGTGATAAACCTTATAAATGTGATGTATGTGGAAAGGCATTCAATCTGTCAGGTGACTTAAAGAGTCACATGAGGATACATACTGGTGATAAACCTTACAAATGTGATGTTTGTGGAAAGGCATTCAGTCGGTCACCTTACTTAAAGAGACACATGAGGAAACATACTGGTGACAAACCTTATAAATGTAATGTTTGTGGAAAAGCATTCAGTCGGTCACCCGACTTAAAGAGACACATGAGGAAACATACTGGTGACAAACCTTATAAATGTGATGTTTGTGGAAAGGCTTTCAGTCGGTCACCTGACTTAAAGAGACACATGAGGATACATACTGGTGATAAACCTTATAAATGTGATGTTTGTGGAAAGGCATTCAGTCGTTCACCCGACTTAAAGAGACACATGAGGATACATACTGGTGATAAATCTTTCAAATGTGATGTAAGTCCGAAGGTTTTCACCCAGTGACACACCTTACAGAGACACCTGAGGACACATACAGGTGATAAGCCTAATTAATGTGATTTTGTTGAAATGGCTTTTATTCGAATAATATACAGGAACACTTGAGGACACATACAGGTGATAAATTAAATAAGTATGATCTGTGTGGACAAGCATTCAACTGGGAAGGAAAAGTTCAGATACACATAAGAACACATACTGATGGAAAACCTTATAAACTTGACATGTGTTGGAAGGCATTTAAGCCGTCTGAGGACTTGCAGAGCACGTGAAGAGACAAACAAGTGATAAACCTTATATTAAAACTTGATATGTGCGAAAGGTCTTATTCTGATGTTAATACTTTAAAGGACAATAGACGATGCATTCAGGTGAAAAACCTTACAAATGTAATGTACGTGGACATGTTTTCAGCAGAGCATATAAAGAAACACAAAAACACATGTACAGGTGACAGCATGTATTTGTAAAAAATAAAGGATGGCATAAAGTCTTTAAGAACGACATTAAGATGCACAGCAGTGAGGCATATGTCAATTTAAAGTTTCCTGAAATCAGGTTCATCAGACAATATATACACAGAGATAGATAACACATATTTTCCACTGTCATAATAATGACAGTAAAAACCTGAGAAAAGAATTTTCTGTGAACATTATTTTTAATATGGTATCAAATGTACAATTGAGGAGTAAAATGATGCATGGTAAGGTATTCATTCTATCTACTCATCTGATAAGTGTATGGTCAATTTTATCAAATTACTACATGTATAAGGGAAGTAACTCCACCATTTGAAATATAATTCAACACATTTTGAAGAAAACTTGATATTTTTCTGGTGATAAAAATACGTTAATACTTTAAAGGACAATAGACGATGCATTCAGGTGAAAAACCTTACAAATGTAATGTACGTGGACATGTTTTCAGCAGAGCATATAAAGAAACACAAAAACACATGTACAGGTGACAGCATGTATTTGTAAAAAATAAAGGATGGCATAAAGTCTTTAAGAACGACATTAAGATGCACAGCAGTGAGGCATATGTCAATTTAAAGTTTCCTGAAATCAGGTTCATCAGACAATATATACACAGAGATAGATAACACATATTTTCCACTGTCATAATAATGACAGTAAAAACCTGAGAAAAGAATTTTCTATGAACATTATTTTTAATATGGTATCAAATGTACAATTGAGGAATAAAATGATGCATGGTAAGGTATTCATTCTATCTACTCATCTGATAAGTGTATGGTCAATTTTATCAAATTACTACATGTATAAGGGAAGTAACTCCACCATTTGAAATATAATTCAACACATTTTGAAGAAAACTTGATATTTTTCTGGTGATGTCAAAATCTGTACAATATTATTGATATATTTTGTAAATTTGATTAAGGATTCTAATAAATATAAATGAAGAAATGAATGAATATAAGGTGTAAATTTCATAATACAAATATTTCTGTATGCTGAATATTATTTTTATACCTCTTATATTTTGGTTGAATTAAACACAAAGACTTTTATGTTTTTGATTTCCAAAATAAATTGTACTGTACAATTGTTATTTTTTTAAGGCCCATCTGAACCAAAGGACAAGTGCACTTAGGTTATGCTTTTTATGTGCCATTTTACTTATGTAAACAATATATTATCAAATCGTTTTCTTTTGGTAATAGTTAGAAATAAGTGGATATTTCGAATTAAAACACATATACATGTAAAGCATCACCTAAAGCAGCGTGGATTTGAAACAATTAAATGATTATAAATGCCCATGGATTCCCTGAATCTGGAAAAGTTGTACCGAATCTTCTTTGACTTTCGTTTATGTAAATCAAGGTGAATAGATATTTCAATAGACTCTTGAACATGGTGGATCATACACGGGCATGTTTGTAGAATGTTACGTTTTGTACCAAATTTGTTTTAAAAAATTGAATGAAGTTGTGTGATCTTGGAGTCATAATGATCAAACTAAGAAATTGGTACTCTTGCAATGAAAAAAAAATACAAATATAGTTTCATTGAATTTGAAATAAAAAAGGAGTGTTTAGGTGGCTTTCAATGCTATAGGAAAAACATTGTACGTTTTTTACATTTTTGATATTTTAACTACCAGCCTAATTGTATGCAAATTTCCTACCTTCACACAAGTTTTATCAATGTATTATGCGTCTTTTGTCACTAGCACAAGTTTGTACAAAGTTAGGCTCATAGTAAACAAAAGCTTTGAAATGATTGACCATACTCGATTTACTATAATAGAAAATCACAAATGTCGGCTGACCCCTGGAATATTCAATGGTTTTGTTCTTTGTATATTCGTGGATTTCAGGCCCAATCAGGGGTAAAATTTCTTGAGTCGTACGGTTTAGATATCAATTAATGATTTGGGATGAAAAAGTTATTGGATTGTTTATTTTTTCACGTTTAGCCATGGCCCACAAGGGAACTCAGTCTTTGTCCATTATCTGTCATCGTCTGTTTGCGTCAGTGTCCTGTGCACATTTTCATATTCTCCTCGAAAACTACAGGGTCCATTTCAACCAAATTTGCCACGGATTATCCCTACGTGGAGGGGATTCAAGTTTGTTCAAATGAAGGAACAGACCTTCTTCCAAGAGGAGATAACAATTCATGCATTTAAGATTTAATTTGTTCAAATCATGACCCCTTGGGAACTACCCGATAGGTAGAGGCCACAAAGGGGATTTTTTTTACAGTACATGTATCTTTCTAAACATGCTAAAGAACGGGAAAGTTTTATGTTATGTTGATATGAATCCTCAAGTAATGTAAAATTCAAGCCTCTTGGCCATGGTTTTTGACAAAGATTTTGAAATTAAAAAAAAAAATCTTGAATTCATGTATCATTTAGTCTTTATGTGTGTAATTAATCCTACAGTAAAAATATTAATAGTACCATGTTGAGCATTAAAACTGATTTCTTTGGTCAATCTTACAGATGGAAAGGGGAGAGTTTGAATCCGATCAGAGAAATACTGAAAATTTGAAGAACTGCTGTTCAGAAGAAAATGAGACAAGAGATGAAGAAAAACAAATCAATGCAAGTGTAAGTACTAAGCATGGTTTATTTAACAGTAGGGAAGATTCAACAGATCAATTACAGAGGCAAACTGGGACACAAAGCGGGGATCAATTACAGAGGCAAACTGGGACACTAAGCGGGGATCAATTACAGAGGCAAACTGGGACACTAAGGGGGGATCAATTACAGAGGCAAACTGGGACACTAAGCGGGGATCAATTACAGAGGCAAACTGGGACACTAAGCGGGGATCAATTACAGAGGCAAACTGGGACACTAAGCGGGGATCAATTACAGAGGCAAACTGGGGCACAAAGCGGGGATAAAATTTTAAAGTGTGAATTATGTGGGAAGGCCTTCACTGCATTAAAAGAAATAAAAAGCTACCCGTGGACACAACCTGGTGAAGAACTTGACATTCGTGATGATTGTGAAAAAACTTTCAACCAATCAGGTGCCTTACACAAAAATAAGAGAACACATGCCTTGAATACACATAAATGTGATTTGTGTGAAAAACACTTCAAACGATTTTATACCTTGAAGATACATATAAGGATACATACAGGTTATAAACCTTATAAATGTGGTTTGTGTAAGAAAAATTTCATGGAATCGGCAGTTTTAAAAAAACACATGAAGACACATACAAGTGATAAACCTTATAAATGTGGTGTTTGTAAAAAGGCTTTCATAGAATTTACAGTTTTGAAGAGACACATGCGGACACATACAGGAAATAAACCTCATAAATGTGACGTTTGTGGAAAGTCTTTTTCTGAATCAAGCAACTTAAAGACCCACCTTATGATACATACAGGTGATAAACCTTATAAATGTGATGTGTGTGGAAAGGCATTCAGTCGGTCAACTGACTTACAGAGACACATGAGGACACATACAGGTGATAAACCTTATAAATGTGAGGTGTGTGAGAAGGCATTCACCCAGTCATCACGCTTACAGACTCACATGAGGACACATACTGGTGATAAACCTTTTCAATGTGAAGTATGTGAAAAGGCATTCATTCGAGTTGATAATTTACAGGAACACATGAGGACACATACAGGTGATGAATTGTATAAGTGCGATATATGTGGAAAGGCTTTCAACTGGGCAGGAAAACTACAGATACACATGAGGACACATCCTGGTGAAAAACTTTATAAATGTGACAAGTGTAGGAAGGCATTCAAGCTGTCTGAGGACTTACAGAAACACATGAAGAGACATACAAGTGATAAACCTTATTAATGTTATCTGTGTGCGAAAGGTCTTTCTCTGATGTTAATACTTTAAAAGACTATATGATGATACATACAGGTGAAAAACCTTACAAATGTAATGTATGTGGACATGCATTCAGCAGAGTATATATAAAGAAACACTTATGGACACAATCAGGTGATAGCATAAAGTGTAGAAAATATAGGATGGCATAAAGTCTTTAAGAACGACATGAAGATGCACAAAAGTGATACATATGTCAATTTAAAGTTTCCTGAAATCAGGTTCATCAGACAATATATTGACAGAGAAAGATAACACATATTCAACTATTTTATGACATTAAAAACCTGAAAAAAGGAATTTTCTATGAACACTATTTTTATGCCCCCCTTCGATGAAGGGAGGGCATATTGCTTTGCTGCTGTCTGTTGGTATGTCGGTCCATTTAGTTTACGTTCATTTTCTTCACAATTGCTGCACGTACTGAAATAAAATTTAGTATACAGGTATATCAGATAAATATCTAGGTCAAGTTCTGTTTTGGGTAAGATTGCACCATAATTGACAGAGTTATGCCCCTTGGACTTAAGAAAAATTCCAATTTTTTGCAGTTTCTGTTCATTTTCTTTACAACCATTGCACATACTAAAATGAAATTTGGTATACAAGTATAGCATATGAATATCTAGATCAGGTTTTGTTTTGGGTATGATTGCACCATTTTTGACAGAGTTATGCCCCTTGGACTTACAAAAAATCCTATTATTTGCAGTTTCCATTCATTTTCTTTGAAGAGGTTGCACATATTGAAATGGAATTTAGTATACAGATTATTCAGATGAATATCTAAGTCAAGTTCTGTTTTTGGTATGATGGCAGCATAATTGACAAAATTATGCCCCTTGGACTTGCAAAAATTCCTATTATTTGCAAATTCCGTTCATTTTCTTTGAAAAGGTTGCACATATTGAAATGGAATTTAGTATACAGATTAATCAGACGAATATATAGGCCAAGTTCTGTTTTGGGTACAATCGCACAATAATTGACAGTTTTGCCCCTTGGACTTACAAAAATTCCAATTTTTTGCAGTTTCCATTCATTTTGTTTAGAGAGGTTGCACATATTGAAATGGAATTTAGTATACAGATTAGTCAGATAAATATCTAGGTCAAGTTCGGTTTTGGGTATGATCACACCATTTTTGACATAGTTATGCCCCTTGGACTTAGAAAAATTCCAATTTGTTGGGGAGGGGGGCATAAATTTTTTACAAACATCTCTAGTTAATATGGTATCAAAGGTACAATTGAAATAAATGATGCATGGTAAGGTATACATATGTATGTATGTATGCTGATCTCAATTTCTACATTACGTTTGTGAAAATTTTGACAATAATCAAATGAATTATTAATAGAATGAATATATAGAAATAGAATTAATAAAAAAAATTAACTGCAGAAAAAAAAATGGAATTTTACTTTTGCATAAGATCTTCTTGAAAAATAAACTGTAAATAAAAAGAAAATAATGCCATCTTAAAAAAAAGATCCATCGCCGCCTTTCCGACTCCAAGAAAATTTTGTAGGGAGATCGGTGATATTTTTTTTTTCAATAATAAAGAAAAAAAGTTCTTAATGGATGGAAAAAAAATCGGGATAAAAAAAGTTTCCTGCAGGTAAGAAAGTTGGATTTGTTCCGTTTCCACTTGGTCAACTGGTCGAGTTTGGACAACATTTTGTTTTTGAAGGCCTTTTTTCTCGAAAACAATTATATTTATCTTGTTAAATGTTCATTTTTTAATAGTACTTTTTTTCGAAATATTTGAAAATTTGCTCAAAAATTAGAAATTTTATCCTTTTTAAAAAATAACTAAGAGGTGAAAACAGGTTTGAATATGTTCAATCTGTGGGCACTGATTTTAATTAATAATTTATTTATTTATTCATTTATTTGAATGTTATGTAGACATTTGTAGATCGTCCAAGAATTAAACTCCTCCACATGTACATATGTACAAGTGCACACCGTATGCATGTGCCACCGGCAAATGGGGCGAGCTGATTAAAAATTAGAGGTTAAGTATCCCTAGTGCAAAGGTACATGTGTTTAGTTTGTCTCTTAAAATTTAAATACAAAATCATTTTTTATTTAATCAGTTTTGAAATCTCATTAATTTTTTTTGTTTGATTTTATGGAATGGAAATAAGAACTGAAGTGAAACTTAATTTAATATGTTACTATTAGTATATGATCAAATTGATCGATTTCAATTTTGCATGGTAAAAAGTTGAAAGGAAAACACCTTTAAATTGATTTCAATTGATTAGAAATCGGTGATCGACCTGTGATTTGGCTGTACTGTGTACATGTCTTCAGCCCCGGGGTAGAACGGGGTACAACTTGTATATTCCATGCAAATTGTAGTGGTCAGCGTAACAATGGGCACTAATTACCTATTGTTCTTCGTCTGCGGCTATCGGTGTTATCAATAAACAAACTACCTACACTGTACATGTACTCGCTACTTTGGAACAATCTTAAAGTTTATGGTCGCACAAAAAAACATTCCGTAATATTGAATTTGATGACGAATAAAATTGATAGGAAAAATATTTAGAATAGAACACTTTGGTACTATAATGAAAAAAAAAAGATATATACATGTACATCATGTACATGTACGTTGTACAGACGTATTTCCATTATTATTTCAATTCTCAAAGATCTATCTTTCTTCAGTATTTAATTTCATTTTTTAGTTTTACGCATATTTCTTCAATCAATCAATCAATAATTTATTTGAATCTTTTTACCATTTTACATTAGTATACATAGACCACAAAAACATATAAAATGTGGTGATTTTATCATAACAGTAGGTCTAAAAGGCATGCGTGAATAAGAAACTAAACAAAAAAATTTTGTAGGTTGCTATAATGCGAAGTAAGGGAATTTAGGCCGGGGAGTATATTTTGTTTTTCAGATAAAAGAATATCCCGGGGGAGGTGGTCGCATGTATTTTCAATTCTGAATCTCTGCTAACGATGGTTTCGGACCGGTAAATACGTAGACGAGAAATTGACTTCACTTTTTAATAAAAAAAAAGTGTGCAAAATATACAATCATATAGATATAAAGAGAAAGATTGTTTAGTGAAGCACTTTTTTGAAGTAATATTAGCATTAATTGTTCACAATTGAGATGCCGGGAAACTCCACTTTCGCTTAATAGGAAAAAAAAACCTTAATAAATATATGGATCCGAATGTCAGAAACATGGTGTGTATCGCACTCATGAATAAATGTTATAATTACTTCAGTTCTGAATTTTGTATGGTTCATTGCAATTGATTCTCTAAAATAATTTTATTCATGCATATAAAAAATTCGATAAGTATAATATCATAACTTGCATGACTTTTAAAACACACAACTAAAGAACGACCTTTGCCCTATCGGCTATCACTTTAATTGTAAACGGTATTTCACCAACTCCTTTTTGTGCTACAATCAAGTAAAATCATATAAATAAGCACCAAGTATGTACTGTTCGTTTATACAAAGAGCATCAGACAAAAATGGAATTTAATAAAAAAATGATAATCTCTGCACAAAATTCTAATTATACAAAAACGCAAGCCGTAACGATATCCCTATGGCAGAATGTACTAATAATTGATCCGATTCTAAAACGAAAGTAGAACTTTTACACGTGGTTGACATGTATGTTCAGAACAACAAGCACAAAGTTTGCATTAATGGAAAAAGTTTATTCAAGTTATGATTTATTAGGGCCCCGCAAGGATTTGCGGGTGCCCTATAGTAATCACTCTGTCTGTCCGTCTGTCTGTCTTCCGTCCACAAATTTTCTGTTTTTTTCCTAATAACTTTTTTTATAGTTGCCCAATCAAGTTCAATTTTGGTATGGAACCTCAGTATGCAGAAATACATATTTTGATGCTAAGTTTGGTTCTCTATGTCTTCTGGTTTGGAGCTGGGGTGGTGGGGTAGATTCCTTAACTATGCATAAGAATGAATGGGCAACTTTTTTTTATGGTTGCCCAATCAAGTTCAAATTTGGTATGGTAGTTCAGTAGGCAGAAATACATATATTGATGCTAAGTTTGGTTCTCTGTGTCCCCTGGTTTGGAGCTGGGGTGGTGGGGTAGATTCCTTAACTTTAGAATGCATTGGCAAAGAGAGATAACTGCTGAAGATGTTCCCATTGTAAAATGAATGCTGGCTATGAGTCTCTTGGGATTAATTAGGTTTCCTCCTGAAGAAAATCCAGAGCATTATCTTTATCTGTCAGATAGAGATGAATTACCACCTCTGTCTGCAAATGAAGTTTGTTTTGAAGTTAAGTCAATTTGGAATGCTATGAACACTGTGAAATGTGGATTTATATATAAATTTTTATAATTTATTTTTGTTTAATATAGTTATGATTTCATTGAATTCTAAAAACAAGAGATAGATTAAAGAAGATTTTTTTTAATTACTTTTTTCACTTTATGTTAATTAATTTTTAAGGTAGTTTTATAAAAACCCCATTCTATCATTAATACTGAAAAAGTTCTTATTGTAACTTTAGAAGAAAATAATAGAGAGAGGCACAATTAACTAATCCTTTAGGGATCAATTATCTAGCCTGTTGCAGAAAATTTAGTAGGCTTTTCTTTATCTTTAAGATTAATGAAAACAAGCCTTCATGATATTTGCATTCATTGAAGGCTGGCAGTCTATATCCCACCAGCTTCATAATTGTTTAATACATTCAATGTTAAATTGTTCTTTTCTGCCTAATGTAAATACAAGGATATTATTTTAGGTTTTTGAATATTCAGGAATTATCTTGAAATTCTAAGAATACAGTTGCTGTTGCTTATTCTTCGTACATTTTTTAATTCTTCCGTTATCTGCACCCTTTTTAATTCTACCCCATGGCGGGGCCCTTGCTGACTGGTCAGTTTTTCTAGATTTATCTTGTTTTTTAACTGACTGACCGCATATAACATGTTTAAGGATTGGCGCCATATGCCCATAGACTTAAAACTGTATACAATGAAAAAAGAATTAGCCTAAAGAAAGACGTGTATTTCATTGACTGAAAATCTCACTGCATAAGATTTATGTCATGTAGTATACAATACTTAAGCCTTAACAAATAATTTAAAAGAGAGAGAGAGAGAGAGAGAGAGAGAGAG